CAAATGCTTTTATATTTTTTTTCGCGTGCTTACTTTCATCATCATTTCGACCTGTGCAGAGATTAAAAGACAAACAAACAAACAAAGTTCAAAGTGAACATATACGTATATATATATATATATACATTCCGTATATTTTTCCTTATGAAATTCATTAGAATCCATGACATTCAAATTTCTATAACACACGCGAAACCTTGTCACCGCGCGTTAGAATACACAGTCGCGGCTACATGCATTTTCTATAATTTAGGAACAACAAAATGTACAATGTTTTGACTCAATTTAATTTAAAAATATAACCATGTTAAATTAACGTATAAATACTACAAATGTGTGTTTAAAATTAATTTGTCACTTTTTTTCCTTGCAATGTTTGTTTGCGTTATTTAACTTTGCAACGTCATCTGACGTCACAAGCAGCTCTTACGTCTACTTACCACGTCAGTTTTGAAGGGCGCTAAATTCACATTAAAGATTAACGAAATAAGCAATTATGAAGAAGGAAAATGAGAGAATGTAAATATAAGCATTGAATTAATATTTTTAGCTGTCTTCGGTCCTATAACACACGCGCGGTATACAATTTGACAGCCAAAATTGTTAATTCAATGCTTATATATATATATATATAAGCTCGGTGAATATTGTACTTCGAAGATGGTTAAATCATTGTATTGACCGAAAAAACAGCAATAATAGTTTTATTATATGATTCACTGATAAAATGATAAAGCTCATTACTTGTTTCCATTTAATTAAGTCCTAGCCAAATACAAAAGAGAAGCAGAATTAAAACGTTAATAAGCCTTACAAGTCGTTTCAATATGAAGATTTTTTATCAAGTTTAGTTGCTATGAAAAAAATATAATGTCAGTCTTTTTTTTTTACTTTTTTAATAGGAGAGATTCTCAAAGGAAAGAGTATTATCAGGGAAAATTGACTGCCATAAACTAAAGTAAAAATTAATGTTTAGTAAAAGTGTTGGAGGGGTGTCCCTGCATCCCTTCTTACAATCATCACCCAAATATATCTATATTCGCTAATGTTTTGTTCACATAAAAAAGTCATAGTCGTTTAAATAGCTTTCAAAAACAATTTGTATCAATTCGGAATTTCCCTATCTATTTTTAGATCAATGTAGAGGAAATAAATCCTTGTATTGACCTGGAACGTCACTTGCAGATCAATACAACGTAGTATTTTTCTAACATAGTTGGATCTCAACCAATCAGAGAGAAGGAAATTATTCAATCATATAATAAATTTATATGATATAATATACATGTCATATGAAAGTATGTTATTGTAAAAAACAAGTCGATATAAACATTCAATAATTAACACACATCACACTGACAGAGACGATTCAAAAAAATTATATTTTATGAAGATATCATGCTCAGTCAAGAGGCAATTGAAACAAAGCAAATTATGACAGAGCAAACGAAGCAACGTAAAACATTAGAGGTGAGATGAGGTTGCCTGGGTTGGGGAAACACTCGCCTTGTGTCTCAGTCCTTTTGAATGATCGTGTGAACTAAACCCAACAAGCAGGTGGTAATTGGTATTTTGCTATCTAATGACGGAAATTGATATTTAACATGATTCTAAGCTTTATGTCTTTCTCTAGTGATATATATTCACATAAAAGGCAAACGATTCTATAGTTGCAGAACTGTAGTTCTCCGAACAAAATATAGACAGACCGGAGAGCTAGAGTGTCATTGTAAAAACTGTTTATTTATTGTCCACAAAATATTGCGCTTAGTTCTGGATTAATTCTTCCAAATTCTTATCTCAATCGCAAAAAAAATAAATAAATAAATAAATGAAAAATTCCTTACTCCTATATGTACTCTCGTAGTTGACATCTGCACGAAAGGCGTTGGACCGAATTATCTGGCAAACCAAAATGGCAGTATGCATATAGCCGAAATTTTCGATGATCTCAATTTCAGGGAAAATAAATCGAGAAAGAGCACACTTTATTGTGCGCAATAAATATATAATTTTTACAGTGGGTGGCACTGTACCTCTCCGGTTTGTCATTATATTTTTTTTTGAGAGCTACAGTTCTGTAGCTAACGATTCTACAGCTACTTCTATCTCGAGTTCAAGGTCATATATCGAATCAACATATGAATAAAAATAGTTATTAATCGATAAAAAGTCATCGTTTCTAAACGTCGTAGACAATATTTCATTCACATGAAAAGACCGTGTACTAGTATTCTTTATTAAAGAGTTATTCTTGTCTGGTTTCTGATCTGACTGAATGATACATTAAAAAGAACTTTAAAATTAAAATGTAAGGAATAATAAAAATATCATTTTTATACCTCCTCATAAGTGGTACGTTAATGGTTAACTGAGTTTAAATTCAAGCAAAGACTAATTTTTTCCTGAATGACAAAGAAAGAAAATATCATTCCCTTTTCTGTTTCTCGAAATAACTATAATTAAACGCTGAATTAAGATTAAAATTTTAAACAACTGGAAATTAGAATAAAAAATAATCAAATAAATTTGAAAACATAAATGGAATAATGTTTAAAATTAACCAAATAAATATGATTTTCAAAACAAAAAACATTTTTAGTTTTTTGACCATTTCGAACGAAAATTCAGGAAAAAAGTGTTCTCTCTCTCTCTCTTTCTAACTTAATAAATAGTCAAAACATTTCGTTTTTGTACCTTTTGTGTTTTTAATGATCATATACTCACTTTGAAATTAATAAAAACGAATATAAAACAGTTTAAAAAATAAATAATTCCCCCTATTATTTGTTAATAGAGGAAGTAATGATAAGCCAATATCTGTTTAAGTTAAAATTACTAGTATCTATTTTAATTCGATAATATCATCTGATAAACTATGTAGCATTTTTTGTGCAAAAACATTTAATCTTTTGAAATGAAACTAAGCATCACATTATTGGCAGCAGTATTTCTTTATGCTCAATATCAGGGAAAAATGACTTTTACCTAACCTTACTTGTAAAATTAAATGTTCATATCATCGAGTATTAAGTTGAAAATTCGTTAAGTTTTTTAAAAAGCTGTTGATTTTGATAAAATGTTATGAGTTCAAATATTCCAAAAAATCCTTGAAATTTTGAGTATCCACATCTGATTCACACCACTTTTCGAACATATTGATACATATTACTCTTGAAGTTTTTCCTTCTTCACTGTTAATAAAAGAGTAAAGAAAGAGCATTGTATGAATGTTATATATACGCCGACTCTACGTGGCACCTGATCCCACCTCTGATGTTTTGGAGGTCCGAGTTTGCTCTGCACCTAATTGTATTTTTATGGACTTTTGAGCTTTAATACTATTTGTTATCTACATATAATTCATAGTATGCATAGATCCTTTTCTTATAATATATTTTGCCTAGGAGTTATTCTCCTTAGCCGCCATCTTGTAGGGCAACATTCCCAGATCCCTTCATTATTCAACCAAGTTCAATTTGGGATACTGGATACTGAGGTAAAGATAACACTATTCATCTTATGAATAAATGTTTGTTCAAGCCTCTATTAATATGAATTTTTAAGACTGTTAATACTTTCCTCCGTATATTTCTTGCATGTATGTTTAAAATTGGTTGCCCAAAGAGGTTAATTCACTACTTTGCCCTATAAGATGGCGGATAAGGGGTAGTAGAAAAAGTGTCTATTGTCTTACTTTTTTGGTCGTTTATATCTACTTTAATTTTCATTCTGTCTGGAACTTCAATTCCGCTGACTTGTAAAACGCTTGTAAGTATTTCTGGAAGAGCACCTTTGTTGATAGCCTTCGTTATGTTTGATTCTGGACAAAACTTAATGATCAAGGCTAAGAAAGTAAAAAAAAAAGAATAACAATGTTATTGTTTTATTTATTCAAAGTATTGTATCACGTACGTCTGGCTTCAAGACCATTATCTGATAGCAGACTGAAGCCTTTTTTATGGAAATCCTCGTTTTCATTTAAAGGGACATGAACAAAGTCACAGCTGAAAATATTCAAATTGTTTTTTTATGTTTGCAAATACTAAATATTTTTAATAATCATCAAAAGATTAAATTTCAGTTGTTGAGATACAAGACAGATTTAGAGCTTAAAAAACCATTGTTATATGAACAAGGTCCATGTCATGATTGTCATTATTTCTTTACATAGATTAAATAAAAATAAAATATATTCATTCAAAGCAGATTTTCCAATAAATAATTTAACAGTAATTCTAAGGACCATTAAACGGTTTCTAGTGATTTACTGGATTTTGTTTTGTTATAAATGTGATATTTTTTTATCTGTAAACAAAAACAAGGCACAAACCTTGTTTATATTATGAAGATTTTTATGTTCTGTATCTTCTTTGTAAATCTACAGATGGTGTTCAAATTCTTGATAATAATCTAAATTGTCTTAATTAGGAATTCTAAACATTAAAATTGGTTTTAAAAAATCAGCTGAAATTGTGTCTATGTCCCTTTAAAGGGTTTGCTTAAAAAGTTTTGTTTTTTTTTTATTATTATTATTTAATTAAATTCAAATATATAAAGAACTTTTTTCACTATCAAAGAATGTTAAAAGTTATATTGGTACGAAATTCTGTTTCCAATTGATGGTTTTAGAGCCTTGTGTTAAGAATATTACATTCTGGTATATTTTCAATAAACAAATTTTTAGTATATATTTTTCTTGACTTTTTAAAGACGTCATGAGTGAGTGTGAAATGGTCATACATAAATTTTGAAAATAGGTATCCTGGAATATTAAAAGTATATTCCACAGTATAAAACCTAAAATATTAATGAATCATGAGAATAGCACGAAAATTGTTCGTGGGATTTAAAAATATTGATACAATGTAATATTACAATATTCATCCCCCAACCCCCTAAAATACCATGGGTTCATGGGTTTGTCCAAGAAGAACTGTATATTAAATAAGTTTTTTTAATTACAACTTCATCAAGTTTAACTTGCAATGAATTGTGGTACATGTACATTAGAAATTCTTTTATAAATTTGAAAATACTCATATATACTTAAATAAATAAAAACAGAATGCTGCAGTCCAAATTAAATAAAATCTTTACTGTTAGCGCTTTCAGCTATATTCATTCAGATATTTAAAAATTTGGTGAACGAATGCATATTGGTTTGCAATATTGGTCAATCAAGATTGCTGAGTATCTATCTAGTCTTATACGGCAATTTTAATGTTTTAGGATACTTCACCAGATGAAAACTCTGAAGAATTTTCAATATGAAACTAATTGCATCTTGGATGATTTTTAGCTTCATAAACATGCATACAGGCTTTTACTACCATTATAAAAAATTGTGGTTGTATCGGTCATTTATGAATTATTTCCAGTACATTATTTATCTAACTTACTTTATTCGATTTGTTTATTCATGAAACCGGAAGAGAGTTATCTTTTATTTCCAAACGTATTTCGAGACTTTTCATTGGTTACCTCTAAATTTATTGTCAAATCACATTACGGCTAACTTTTACACTCATTCTATTGTTAAGAACAGTATTTAAACCCGAGCACAGCGGAGCTCTGGGCTTCTACTGAGCCAAACCTTGCATTAAGGTAAATATCAGGAGTTGCCTCACACTATTTCCCTTACTAAATTTTGATTATTAATTCTTTATTTTTCTAACTTAGTTCTTTTTTTTCACTTAGTTATCATGGTTATTTTTTCTAGAAAACCACATTCATTCCCCGGGATTATTAATTTGTTGTTTGAAATTCTCATATACAATTGTTAAACTTTATTAAAGATTTAAAACGTTATCATCTATCTATTATTTAATTACAAGCCTCACTACAGTCGGCTCAAACTTACCTGGAAAGAAAATCAAAAAAGTTCATAAAGGTTGAAACTTAACATTATTGAAAGGAACATCTTTAAAAAACATAGGTAATCAAAGATTACGAAGCTCACCTCGACAAATGTTATCAGTTTAACTAATGCAAATCTCACATCATATTTTCTTAATATTTAGTATTCATCCCAACAACAATATTCTTGCAAGTTGTGTTTAACCCCTTACATGGCATACACACATTTCTACGCGTGACGTGAAAAACGTGTAGTGTAAACAAATATTCATAACTTTGTTAATACTGCAGATATTAAGGACTTCAAGTTCATTCGGATTGATCTGTTCCCAAAACTTTAACCTGGTCTCTTGTATAGAAAATATAGGTCAGATCCAGCATCCGAAGCAAGTCTGATAGTGTCCATCCTTAGATGCATTATCCATGCAAGTCTGGTTCAGGTAGGACTTATAGTTACTTGGGAATGAAAATGAAGGTCAGATCCAGCATCTGAAACAAGTCTGGAAGTATCCATCCCTAGATGCATCATCCATGCACGTTTGGTAAAGCTAGAGCTTATAGTTACTTGGGAATGAAAATGTATGTCAGATCCAGCATTCAAAGCTAGTCTGGTAGTGTCCATCCCTAGATACATCATCAATGCAAGTTTGGTTAAGGTAAAGGCTTATAGTTGACTTGGGAATGCAAATGTAGATCAGATCCAGCATCCGAAGCAAGTCTGGTAGGGTCCATCCCTAGATGCATCATCCATGCAAGTTTGGTTCAGGTAGGGCTTATTGTTACTTGGGAATGGACTTGCTCCTAAAACTTTAACCTGGGACGCCAACGCCGGGAGTATAGCATTAGCTCACCTCGACTTTGTCGAGGTGAGCTAAAAACACACACAACGCGAAGTACGAACCTTTTACATCAGTAGTGGCTGAATGCCCAACTACTACAAATTTATAAATGTTAACGTTGTTCCCTCCCCTAAATAAAAGACGAATAATATGTACCTACATTATTGGCACTGTCTAATGGTATTCATCTGCAATATAAATATGTCAACTTTGCTTGATTTTAATTTAGATTTTTGTATAGGTATATACTTACTATGATCAGTTTGTTGTAATTCTTTGTTTTGTGCTAGCTTTGTATGAAGAATCAGACCAATTCTCATTAGTTGCACTTTTGATATAAGGAGTTCAGACTCGTCCGACCACAAAAATATTCTCAAAAAAGAAAGAAGAATACCATCTTCTAATAATAAACCAGAATAACTGATACAAGATTTTGTCCTCAGTACTACATGCGTTGTGCTTTTTTCCTGTTGAATACTTTGAATTTCACATTGCCCTGATTTTTCAAATTCTAGATTTATTTTTCTCATCTTGTCATCCATATTTTTGGGAAGCAAGGACTCGAACGGTTTGAGGGCCATATCTGTTGGATTAATTATACTCCCTTTCAAAATGATCCAAATGTCTTCATTCACTGCAACAAAACAATTTCATATTTACTTAATATCAGAGTACTTCTGAAAACTTATATACTTTAAACAATCTTTCATATGACAGATAAAACTAAAGAAAATTAAGCATTAAAGCCATATATGGCGTATGTTCAATGAAAATTATTAGACTAAAATTATAAGAACTTATAATTTGTATCATTACTTTATATGAAGATAGAACTTTTCCGTAAATTACAAACTCTAAGTCAATTGCGTTATAAAGATACTAGTATCACAATTTAATTTGGATTCTCGGAATTTTCTCCGACTCGGAAGAAAATACAAAAGATTTAAATAACACATTACAGAGAAGATCAAATCGTATTATTAGATAAAACGAGGTGTTCTCCATGTTCAAAATTGTATGAAAAGCTTTAATTTAAATGTATTAACTATATTTCTTTACTTAATTTTGTATTTTTCAAAAATATATTTTTTGGATCAGTTACGCCCTATATGGCTTTAACCATTTTACTCAGATACGTATACCTTCAGTTGTGAGATCACAAGACAACAGGTTATGGAACAATTCTGACAAAACAATATCGATATCGCAAGTACATTCAGAAAACGTCCATGTCAGATGTGTATACAAGTGAAACTTTCCTACTTCAGATCTTGTTGTGGATACATTGGTGGCTATACGAAGAGAGAAAAGGTTTGATGATATATCTTCCAAACTCTTGAAAAACTATACTGTGGTTTCATCATTATATTGCCTACATATTTATGCTAGAAATATTACTTTTTGATTAATATCAAATTCGTCAGATATTTATTTGTATTGTAAAGTATCCTAATATTAATCAAATTATTTAATTTGCTCAATTTATTTTTTTTTTCTTTACATCAGTGTAGAAACAGTTGGAATATCTTACCAAAATTTATTCTGTTAATATTTCACTTTTCCAACATTTTTAAATTCTATTTACCATAATCAAGAAAGTACTCTTTAGGATCATATATATATCCAAAAACTTCCAGTGTGTCGACTTTCTGCTCTTCTAAAATTTCGTTGATTTTTATGTCCTCGAATACACACTGAAACACCCTTTGAATATTTTCTTCCAAAGACTGATCGTTTCTAAACGTAAATGTTATGACGAGACTTCCCTGTCGAATTTCTTGAATAGAAGTGTCGTTGTCTCTTAAGGCAGGTCTTTCATTAATTTCTTCTATATTCAATTCGCTTGCTCTTTCTGTTACAGCTTGGAAAGCTGGATCGTCTGAGTGTAGAACAGCCGAAACTTGGACTGAGGTACAATAAATAAAATAATTCGTTTAGGTAAAACTGTTTTCATCAAATATTTGAAATAAGAATATTATGGTAAATTTAAATTGAATGAACTTTTATCAATTTTGATGTCTTTCATATTTGTAATATTACCCTTGATAAAAATAAAATATGCATGTAAGAAACAATTGTTCATACATTTTGCAGCGGATCAATACAATGTTATATACGAGGGCTGTTCAATAAATAGTGTCCACAGTGCTTGGAAAGAAATAAATAAAAACATTTTTCAAAGATTAGTTCTTAATGAATTTACTTAAATATTCTCTTTGAATTAAAAACACATGTCCGTAACATTTTTATTCAATTTCTAATAGTTTTTAGAACACATGTTTGAGTATGACCCTCTTATACTGGAATATGGAGGATCCTATGATTTCCTGGACTTGATTCTTTTTTCTGAAAGGCGTTTTTTTTTTTACAAGTTTGGAAAATGAAACAAGTCAAGGATTGGAAGACCTGGCGAATATTGTTGGAGTGACAAAACAATAACATCTGTTTATCCCCAACACTCCTTGACTCTTCATGGCGTCTGGGTTTGGACGCTGTCAGGAAGAAATTTAATATAGTGGATCCCTGATTTTGTTTCCATCCTCTCATAAACCTTTCGATTTTTTGCAAAAATTTCCTTTCTAGGCCTCTTTAGTAATTAGACTGCCTCCCGAATAAGAATTTGAACAAGACCACTGATTTTTAAGAAAATGGCCTTATAAAACGGTTTTGTGCATTTGCAATTCTTTGCTCTTACTTAGACCTTGGCGGGTTTTTTTTTCTCAAGTAAATCTTATTGTAAATTTGTTTTGGGGGTTTAAAACAATGGATTCAATTTTCATTAATTCCTTGAATTTCAGACAAACGTGGATAGCTCAGTCCAATTTTTAATTTTTCTGATAATTGTTTAGATGTTCTTACACGCTGTCGTATGACCATATGGTGACTATCGGGTGACCATTGAAAGTGACCATTGAGTATTAAGATTTTTTATTGTCAAATGTTTCTTTAAAACAGTGTAAACTACCCCAAAATCATACCTATCAATTTTGTTATGCGTCTTAAAGTCAAACAAATATCACCTGTGACAATTTGTAGAATTTTAGCAAAACGTACATAGGTTGTTAAAAATTCTTTAGGTTAAAACGCACATTAGTTGCTATAAATTTCACATGGTTCAGGGAATATTTTAAGGATTCTCAACGAGTTTTACAGCAGTTGTAATGAAGCATTTAATTTCACTTTAATTTACTGATTCTTTACCATTCATTTTTCAAGCAGTGTCTCAATTAGCGCTTGTTTTCCAGCTTCTCACAATGTCATATAATATCTATGTTGTATGTCACAGAGCTCAGGACATTATTGATATTGAATAGTCCGTGTATGTTACAATTTACAAAATGTATACTTACCTCTTCCTGTTGATGTATATTGTATTTCACCACGCCGATTGTCATGCATTTCATAAATAATGATTTTATTAGTGTGACCTCCTTGTATTACATTGACACAGCCATTGAATGAAGAATCAATATTCATCTCAATAGAGTTCTTCTTTCCCAGTTGTACTGCATCAAAGTTTGGTTCTTTTTAAAGTAAACAAAAGTGTACACGAAGTCTTTTTCATTAAAAAAAACTGTTTCTTCACACATTTATAAATGTGAAAATTATTTCAACTTTTATAGAGAGAAGATGGGTGGACAAACAGAACAATGATCATATAGTAGTATGCATATCTATTATAAGGTATTCGTTCGTTTTATACTGTTATACTGATTTTCAATCAGCACAGGATGCATGTAAGCCAACAGGGGGTACAATCTGAGAGAGGGAGAGGGGGAGGGAGCTATGGGGCTTTGAAGCTGAGATAACTTCTTTCTTCTCACAGAATGTACGGTTTGGGGCTTACCGGTATGCCCTACCTTCAAAGATTATTGTGTTGTGATATAGTAGCATTAAGAAAACTTGTTTGGTATGATAATTCTTGCTAGCAGTTGTCTTCATAATGTACTCTCCAGGCCAATGTAAAATTAATTAAAACAAGAAAACCAGTTTCTTATTCAATTATTAGGCAGTGTGATGCACGATTTAAACACAGATGCTTGACGTATGAAACCTTTCTTTTCAAAAATAAACATACTGTTGTTATTATTACAGTATTGGGAAATTTTTACTCATGAAAAGAAAGATTAAATACGTCAAACACCTGTGGATTACTAGATTAAAAACTTGAGTTTCCTTAATTTCATTTTCAGCCACTTTCACTAATTATGCCATAAAACAAGACTTTTGATGCTGATAGTATTTCTTATAAATTATAATTTACAATACAAATACATGTATTGAAATCATACTTTAGTTAGCAATTTTATGGATTTGTAGAATAAAGTCTTTTTCGGATACTGTATATAATATACGATTTATTAGAAAAGATTTCATTATTTCTTGCAGAAGTTGCTGGCACGATATAGGACCCATCACTGCTCCATGAACATTGGTACCTATGTAGTATAGGTATAAATTTGCAACACACTTGCAAATAATTGCTGGTGTTTCAATATGAGTGAAAAATTATCGAAAGGGCGTGGAAAAATGCAAACAATCAAACTGCTTCTTAAAGGAACTTTCTGCTATATAACATCCTAAATCACGGATTCCATAACAAACATGTATCAAATACAGTTCAAATAATGAAAATTACCTTCATTGCATGCCAAGCCGACTTCCCTAAAGAAATCCACACCAAATTCTTTAAGTTCACGTCGCTTACTCATCCTGAACCCAATTTCCATCAGTGTTTTCATAGCTATGTTGCTGTCGTTGTCAGATAATGTCTCATCCTCATTATCTTTGATATGTTTTTGCCATATCCTCCATATTCTTTGGATTTCATCTGCTATTCCTATGTGTTCCTCTGGAATTTCCTCGATCGAAAACCAACCTAAAACTGGTAAGCCAATTAAGGATTCAAATGCTCCAGAACGGAATATATCACACAGGACTGGAAGATTTAGTTTGCTCACTCTATTCTGTCTTTCCAGAACATATTTTGACCTATCAGACAGGGTGTCCAAAGGAACTCCCTCCTTGAGTTCCTCATATCGTTTGAATTTTAATTTCAAAATATTTTGTAACAATTTGGTACATGGTGTCTTTAGACATGTTCGTAGGATTTCAAAGTTAACTGATCCCCCGTCAGATTCCTCGGTACTCATAACTTCTTATTCCATTTCTCATGCCTTAAAGAATTGTTCTTTAGATTTATTGTTGACACCTACCTCAGGATTTCCATATTCTTCGCGACTAAGTGTTTCTCAAATAAACCTGAATAAAACAATGATTGTAAAATGGAACTCTTTACAAGATATAAAAAATAAAAATCATCATACTGTATGTGAGAGGGTGCGTGGGTGTTGGGTCGGGGTAGGGCCCACAGCCACACCAAAAATCGATTTATTAAATCTTATTTATGATGTATTCTTTTCAGAATTTGGGCAAAAATATATCTCAAATCAATCAGCTACATCTCCAATGCAATTTTAAGTACTTTGTTCTCTTGACAAAAAGAAAGTGTCTACCGTTTTCGTATGGTTGGGTTGCAATGACTACATAATAAATGTTCCTTAAGTGAATGTAATGGGACGTTCTTGGTCATTCTGAATGAACATATGAGCTAAATACAGGTATTGTTTGTAAGAAATATGAGGGATAATGTAAGGGCAATATGAAATGATCGTCTATGTCGTAATTTTTAAAGGTGATATTTTGACACGACGCACTATAAATAACATTGCGAAGATTGAAATCAGACCCCCTTAAATGGGCTAGTCACCCATACATAATACAGTGATGGGTGGTGGAAAATCTGAACTTATCAATTAATTTATCTACTGAATACTCTTTAGGAGAAAAAAGAATTAAATAAAAAAACGATATCTACTTTTTCAATGCGTATTGAAAAAGACAATAACTCACGTAACAACAGTTGTCGTATACAAATAGTCCCCGTACAAAATGGTGGGTATATTCGATCGTTTTCGGTATACATATGTTTTAAGGCTGTATGTTAAACAATTTACTATAAAACAGAAATTCTATACTTACTAAGATCAAGTGTTCACTAAACCATTTCCCCCCAAATGGAACATTTCATTTATATCAAAAAATACTATGGCACTATAATCAGATAATGTGCAGGAAGTTCAATTTGTTATGAAAAATCGATGTGCGCATGTCTAAAAAGAATTAATACTGAGAATTGAAAAAAAAATACATTTTCAAACTAGTGCTAATTGTAACGGGGACCGTTACAGATGTTCCCCAAACGCTCCCCAACTCCCTTTCATAGTAATATTCCCTGTAAGCGTAATTAAATAACTTTATGCATTTGAGACTTTAACAACGTTTACCCAGAAGTGTACCATGTTCATTCAAATTTTATCATTGCACACTTGCGCATGTTAATGCATGTGCGTAATGACCATATCATATTCTCTACACAATCTATATATTTTAATATGCTAAATATTAAAGTACTAAATCCAAAAGTATTTTAAAAAAAACGCTCATTCAAGTGTATTTTTGATTTTACCCATTTCACGTGCACGCACGTGCATACATGAGCATGGTGACCATACCTTCCTGTAGAAGTCCATTACATCTAAATGTTCTAAATCCCACCCTGTTTGGCTGAAAACCAAGAGAGTTATAGCTGTTTAAAGTTTCAGCCAATCAGAATGCAGCGCACCTACACGCACGTGTATGTATGTGCAGGGTGACCATACCTTCTTATAGAAGTCCATTATATATATATATATATATATATATATATATATCTTATTCAAATCACAAATTGTTTGGTTGAAATTAAAACAAGGGAGTTATAGCTGTTTAAAGTTTCAGCCAATCAGATTGCAGCGTTTGTACACGCACGTGTATGCATGTGCATGGTGACCATATCTTCTTGTAGAAGTCAATTATATATATCTATTTTCCAAATCCCATCCTGTTTGGTTGAAAACCAAGGGAGTTATAGCTAATTAAAATTTCAGCCAATCAGATTGCAGCGTTTGTACACGCATTTGTATGCATGTGCATGGTGACCATATCTTCTTGTAGAAGTCCATTATATATATCTATGTTCCAAATCCCATCCTGTTTGGTTGAAAACCAAGGGAGTTATAGCTATTTAAAATTTCAGCCAATCAGATTGCAGCGCACGTGCATGCACATGATTTCATGATAATTCTTATATATCATTTTGTAGGATATCCTAATACATGGCTATGTTCAAAATTTCAAAGGATTTCGTCAGAAAACAAGAAAGATATTGAGACTTAAGTTTCAGCCAATCAGAGCGTAGCGCACGTGCATGCGCGTGAGATCTTCCCATATTGACCATGTCATCTTGTTTATACTACTAATACATCCTTACATTATGAATTTCAAAACATTTCATCAAAAAATAGAAAAGTTACGGCACTATACATTATATTGGTTATTCACGTGTTGCACGTGCGCGCTCTTGCAAGCACGTGCGCGCAAAATGACATTCGTTCCGCAAATCTACATAACATGTCTACTGACCCTAAAAACATTTCACCTTAGTTGGATGTGTAGTTTACGAGATCATTCGCGGACAAAAAAGTGCCCAGGAAGAAGAAAAATAATAATAACTAGTGCTAATTGTAACGGGGACCGTTACAGATGTTCCCCAAACGCTCCCCAACTACCTTTTGGTGCCATATTCCCTGTTATCTCTATTAAATAAGAAATACTTTATGGAATTTAGACTTAATCAAGGTCTTCCAAAAAAAAATACAAAATATATTAAAAAAATAGGCATTGCACGCTTGTTCATGTGCGTAACGACCATATTATCTTGTCTACACTATCTAAAATTTTAATAATATCAAAGCATTTAATCCAAAAGTATTTAAAAAATGCACTCATTCGAGTGTATTTTTTATTTTACTCATTTCACGTGCACGCACGTGCAAGCACGTCCATAATGACTACACCTTCTTGTAGGAGTCCCTTATATTTATCCAAGTTCTAAATCCCATCTTGTTTGGTTGAAAAACAAGAGAGTTATAGCCATTTGAAGTTTCAGCCAATCAGATTGCAGCACACGTGCATGCGCGTGATTTCATGAATATTTTCTGTATCATATGTTAGGATATCGTAATGCATGACTATGTTTTAAATTTCAAAGCATTTCGTCAAAAAACAAACGAGATATAGCCATTTAAAGTTTTAGCCAATCAGATTACAGCACGCGCGCATGCGCATGATTTTATTAAAACTTTAATATATCGTGCTGTAGATCTTCATAATGTAGGACCATGTTCAAAATTTCAAAAGATTATGACAAGAAACAAGAAAGATATTGAGACTTTAGTTTCAGCCAATCAGAGCGAAGCGCACGTGCATGCGCGTGAGATCTTGCTATTTTGACCATGCCATCTTGTCTATACTACTAATGTATCCTTACATTATGAGTTTCAAAGCATTTTATCAAAAAATAGAAAAGTTCCGACTATATCTATTATATTGGTTATTTCAAGTGTTGCACGTGCGCGCTCTTGCAAGCACGTGCGCGCAAAATGACCTTGATTCCGCAAATCTGCATAACATGTCTACTTACCCTAAAAAGGTTTTACCTACCTCGGACGAACAGTTTACAAGATCATTCCCGGACAAAAAAGTACCCAGGAAGAAGAAGAAAAATAATAATAATAATAATAATAAGAAACAGAGTAAAAACAATATGTTCCCCAACTTCGTTTGGGGAACATAATAAGAAACAGAGTAAAAACAATATGTTCCCCAACTTCGTTTGGGGAACATAATTAAGATATGTTTACAGGCTTTACTTAAAGTGATACCGATAGATTGGAATTTTGTTTAACAATTAAGGTATATTTGTGTTAGAGTACAAGTTCGTCAATATGTTTTAAAAGTTTACACACGCTTAAATAGTTATAAAATGTACCTGCATTAGTACACAGTAACGAAAATTGACACGCCAAATTCACAAAAATGAGCTAAACATAGTTTCACAGTCGATAAACTAGGTTTATTGACTGTAAACTATAGTTTACAAAACGTGAACTATTGTTAACAATTCGTTAACTGTAGTTTTCATCTGTAAAACTATATTTAATGGTTGTTAACTATAGTTTATGAATGACAATCTAAGTTTATCTGTCTGTAAGAAAACGTTAACAATAGATTTTGTTTGTAATCATAGATTCACGTCTGTAAACTATAATTTACAATCGTAAACTATAGTTAAGAGTTGTTAATCATAGTTTCACAAATCGTGAAACTGTATTTAATTTAATCAATATTTTATTATGTTAGATTACATAATTGGATTGGACATCAGGCATGGCCTATATAAGTCCTCTCCAAAACTGTATTTATCGGATCGTTAACTGAAGTTTACAAATCGTGACACTATTTTTCAGATATTAACTGTTTTACAGATGTAAAATATGGATTAATGTTGTTAACTATAATTTACAGCCCGTAAACAATAGTTTACAACCGATAAACCTAAAGTTTATCGACTGTGAAACTATGTTTAACTCATTTTCTATATATTCGATCAATGCATACTATCTTTGCAAGATATATAACTGTATTCAGCGGCAGCTCACACATATTGGTCCGACCAAAATAATTCCATCATGATAAGTAGATACAACATTATTGTTCATGATAAGAGTAAAGTTGTGTATGTCATACGTTAAAGAAATCAAAAATAACGTCAAAATATCATTAGAAAGTCACTTTCCCCCCGAAATGCAAATAAAAAATATCAATATTCCTACGCTCGCTCCCTCCTCAGCCTTTTTTTTTTTTTTACGTGTTTGATAACAGAGAATAATTAGGTCATTATTCGATTCATATCTTTTCACCAATGAATTGATAATACTATATCAACAATTGTATTAAGTACATGTTTATAGTCCGTTAATTATCATAATCATTCTAGCAGCTGTGTGTGTGTATTATTAAATGACGGAATTTTCAATCCCTAGCCTGCTCGTGTGTACACTTTGTAAACTTTAGGGTATGTGTGGCAAAACGAGAACTGCATGGGTTGGAGATTCGGGTTCGTGTTGAAGTTCAGCATACCATTATATATAGAACTTGAATAATGTAAGTAATTTCTGCGACAAATATATTAGTATATTTCAGTTATTTTCAAAACAAAAAAGGTTTTCCATGTTTTCAGTTTAGAATTTTCCGACCCGGTCCTGATTTTCCCAACCCGGCCATTTTAAACACAAGTTGTTGCAGATGCAAATGTTAGAACAAACTATATAAAGTTCAACAGGTATTGTATAATTTTTATTAATCAGAATTCGTATTTATATGATCTAATTAAGAAAAGAAAAGTTTTGTCTGACACCGTAACTTCTCGGCAAAACAAAACGTGTTTCTCCGAGCTCGCTGGATGCGTGTGACAGCTCCATTGCACGTGTGTAGACCAAGGCTACAGGTACATGTAGGCCTATGTGTACTGTTTGTTAGGAGACTGGGTGACCGTAATGCTATGGAATCACGATATTTACAACAGTTCCATAATTAGACAGTGCAGTTTTTTTTTTATTAACGTCATTATAAACACTGTTAAACATATTAAATCTAACAGTCGAATATCTTTGGATATTGGGTAACCCATATCTATTCTTGTTATGAATTTGGCGTGCCAAAGAAAGGATTTGTATTTAACTTTGAAAATCTTCCAAAGCTCTCAAAAGAAAAGCTTTTGTAGGGGGTATGGTATGGGGATATTGATACATAGAAGTGGATAACTTAAAATAAAACATCACTTATAAAGTAACTACAGGAGGTGTTCATTTATTTATTTACAACAATATATACAAACACAACTGTAGACCGGGTGGGTTCTGGCTCAGGCTGACTCACCGTCTCCAAAACACGTCCTGTCTCTTGGTCATCTTGTGATGAAAAGATCGAGGCCCGTGCGCTGTACCGCCATCTGACGTCACACTGTCAGTAAGTTGTACCACGGGACAGTCACACAGATACTACACTTAGAAAGTGAGCAGATAACTTGTCTTCTCGATATTTCTTCAAACATCATTTTGAAGCTACAGCTGCAGCTTAGTATTTTATAGGTAATAAAAATATCATTGTATAGCAAACTTCATCAAAGATCATCAAAAATAAG